GAAAAGGAAATGAAGGGACGTAGAGCAAACTAATGTCTTGTGTCAAGGTGCTCACTGTCCAAATTTAGACTATGAGCTAAACTGGAGTTTTCACAAATGCAGTCAGTTTACTTGACATGCTTGTAAATTCATTATCTGGTTAAAAATAGAAATGGCAACAAGACTGAGGTGAGTTTAGTGATGGCAAGGATCTTAACTAGTCCAGAGAATACATTTGTACAAGGCTTATATTTCCCTTCCTCAATTTTTTATATATTTTTAAGACAACCCCACATTTCCTCAGCTCCTTGTTTAGCTTTTCTCAAGTCTGCGTTTTAGATTTCTGGCCATGCAAAAACAACATGTTCTACTGTTTCTTGATTTTGTCCATAATCACACAAACCTGACTGATGTTTACCTATTAATTGCATTGTTTTACTTAACAGTGTGTCCGAGTCTTGGTCTTGTTATGATTGCATGATCGTTTGCTCTCTCCTGTTTTTGTTCCTTTTTGTTTTCATTCCTCCCACTTTTTGTTGAATTGATAAGACGTGATTTTGCTTCAGACTGCTGCTTCGGCTCATAGCTTTAGCTTTCAGCTTTACTGAAAGTTAAGCGCCGTCATTTCACGTTACTATGGAAACAGTACTACACTACCACAGCTAGCAAGCAGTTGATTGCCAGATTAGCTGGTTTAGGCACACACAGCACATGAGAGAAAAAGTTAGATTTAAGCACACAAGGCTTAACTTCCAGTTTAATGACGTTTGTTTCGACGGCCGTCTTCTTAGCTTTCCTCGTCGTTGTTCTCCAGAGGTTGTTCTCCTTATCTTCTCTGTCCTCCACTATGCCAGCATCCGCGTTGTCGGAATGAGCCTCCAAGAATTCGCAATTATCATTCACCAGTTAATTTCGTTCTTGAGTTGAACACTTATATACATAAGTATAATTTAAGAAAAAAGTATATTATCTGCTCAAATGCTAGTTTTCAGCATAGGTTATAGGTCACCAGAGGGCGCGAATTAGTTAATCTCACAGGTAGCAAACATTGACGGTCATCAACGCACAGATTACGGGGACGTCATTACGTCATAAAAAAAACCCAAGATTATAACTTTTATTGACAGTCTATGCTTTTCATGCAAATAATATGATGACACAGAGAGTTGATGCATATTCAGTTTGTATTAGTTGAAATAGGGGGAGAAAATGGACAAAAAGTTAAACATGTTCGTCTTCTTTGAAAATAGGCTAGAAATTAATTATTGATATGAGCAATGAGAGCAGTCCAAAGCAGCCTTTTATTAATGAGAGATTTTTTTTATTTAATCTCAATGGGATCTTTAGAAGGTCAGACACAAAGATGGGCCGATGGGAACATGTTTCACAAAGACATGGTTTATAGATCGGTTGCATTTTTTTAAGAAAATCTTTCAAAGAAAAACTTTCAATTGATCATCAAAATGTTTTTGTACCTTTTCTTACATCACACTATCAAGGCTGTTTAAGCTGAAACGTATGGCTCCATTAAGGATTTATATGTCAGTGACTAAAGCTTTATGAATCAGCTGTAAAATATTAATAAGAGTTTATGGTTTTAAGATTTTGAAAAAAATGCATGGATTATATTTCTTTGAAGCTGTTTTATCTTTGACCACTGAATAAGCCACTTCCCTCCTCTCTGTAAAAAACTGCAGAAAATTCAGAAAATATTCCACAATTCATTGTATACATTGAGAGTGTTTCACCTTTGATCTTCACTCACTTATGCATTATTATTCTTTATGCATTGTTTTATTTTTGTGCCTTTAATTGAGAGGCAGGACAGTGGATAGAGTCGGAAATCAGGGAGAGAGAGAGGTGAATGACATGCAGGGAAGGAGCCACAGACTGGATTTGAACCTGGGCCGCCCGCTTGGAAGACTAGCCTCCATACATTGGGCGCACGCACCAACCACTGTGCCACCAGCACCCCATTCTTTATGCATTGCTACCATAAAGTCAAATCTAATGATAACAGTTCATACACCCTTTAATAAAGAGTAATTTAACAGAAAGGGGTACCCAGACTTTGTGGATTAGTGTTTTCATCACATGTCCTTTTAAAGAACATAACATGAGAACAGCCATTGTAGATGCAGTTAAAAGTGTGTATTTAAAAAGCATGAACACCTGGCCCTCCTAAAACTACATGAAACAAATTATAAGTTATGAAAGGTTTCAGGATGCACGGGCCTTTAGAGAGCCACGTCCAACTGGGAAATCATGGAAGCGGAGAGTGTGGAAAAGCACACACAGGCAATTACAGCCTGACTAAACACACATCACATCATCAACCCAAACCACTCTAAGTGAAAATATACCCTCATCTCTTACCAAGCTCATTTTCCATCAGCCACAACCAACTGCTGGTTTCTCACCCCCAAGCCTGCTGATTTGGCTGATCTCTCTGATTGAGCTTCATTTAAGAAACATGTGGGAATCAGGCCTGGAAGCTTACCAAGATTACACGCAACCCAGTCATTTTTGCTCTGCCCTATTACCACAATAAACATGAGCAATAACAAACGCCTGAGAAATTGCAGCTTAAGACCTCAAGGGGAAAAGAAAATCACACCTCTCTGCTCTGGCAGAGGAGCCTTTCTTATCTGAACAATATTACTGCAGTTGAAACATGTCTCTTTCTCTCTTCCACCCGTAGATGTGATTAGTCAAAACATGTTTGACAGTAATCGCCGCTGGGAATCGAATAAATATGCCTGACAAGTTGATCAGCTGCGTTCAAGAAGAGCAGCAGCAGCAGCAGCAGCAGCAGCAGGACTCAGTGCTGACCACCAGCGGTAACAACGCGTGAAGCAACGTGAAGCATCAAGAATGGTTGATCTGATGGATGTCGCACATTTTAGCTGTCTGATGAACAAAACCTTCAGGTGAATTTGTACTATTCAAACGTGTCGCCAACTTTAGTGTTTCTGAAGGAACCCTGTGAAGCCTGAAGGAAACGGAATCAGTAAAAAGTTAAAATAAAAACGTGTCGCTTTCCTTTGTTTTATCATTTGGGTTTCTTGTTTTTTGTTCTTAAGGAAGGAAACAAGGAAGTTGAATTCCAAACATAGTTGTTCTAGTCGTAGTTTCTCAGGACTGCATACCATATTAAACTTCATCCAAAATCATGTGTTTGCTCTTCATGATATTTTTGTTCTGCTATTATTCTAAAGTCATAAGCAATTTAAATGAACCTTTCCATGTTTCTGATTTCAGAAGCATGCTTTCTTGGTCAGTTTTTACAGTGTCTGTATATTTTTTGAGTTATCCATTTAGTCAGAGTCATTTTCAAAGCTCTGTGGTACCATATAAGATTGTGCTTTACTGATGAATATTACGAAACATATGATTAATCAATAGTAGTCTAGATACTTAATGCAAATCAAGGACACTGGAAGCTTCAGGGCCATAACCAACCTCAGGCTGCTTACAGTCTAACCTTGCTTGAAGAAATTATTGAAGGTCTCCCCACCAACTTCAATGAAAAGAAACTATCATTTGACAGCCATTTGATTCATGTAATGGAGTAAAAAGTAAGATGTTAGGTAGCATTCATTTAAAGTTCTAAAGTTAAGTCCAAGTACTTGGAAACAGCTCTTAAATTAAGGCTGTGTAACCTGCTGACCATGTGGCAACACAATGCACGTGCAGGATAAATAGCCATAAATACTTTAAAAAACTATAATTATTATTTGTGACATGCCTAGACATATAGATTGTTAAGACATGGACACTTAATCCAAAGATCAACTATTCAGTCAAATAGAGTAGAAAATGCACAATAGGGATCCTGCCAAGAAGTAGTAGCAGTTAGAAAAGTTAATTAAAATTACGTTTGTAAAGACCCACTGACCTTATTTACAGGTTTGGGTGTCAGTTTTAAAGACGCAATTTTTAGGGGCCAATGGGGAAAATATAAGTTTGGCTCCGGTGTTTTTACTTAATGATCTTATCTTTTATTGATCTTTTATTTGATTGATCATTCTAGTGTTTTTATTTTGTATTCAGTCTGGCTGACCTCTAACAGTCTGACTAATATAAGTGTCTCCTTTAGGTCCTATATATCCATGTTTTAACTCCTTGTGTAATCTGTTGTTTGCACATCAACTTGTCTTCGTTTGTGTTTTTTTCTTCTGTTTTCCGGGCTGCTCCACACTAATTGCCCCAAGAGGGATTAATAAAGTTGTTTGAATTTAATTGAATATTTTTTTTTATTTGTTGCTCTGATTGTGAGTGGCCATCCGTCCAAAATCAAAGTGAAGACGAACAACATATGAAGAAAAATATTGATTAAGAATACTGACTCAGTCATTTTAATGTTGCAAAAAGTAGATAATATTAGCCGATTCACACAAACTATTTGTCCTTCCAGACCAGGGATGGGCAACTTTGGCACGGCAAGGGCCACATTCAATGAATTCTCCAATTTAATTTGCCAAATGGCCAAATTGTAGAATACAAAAACGATCAATTATGAATCAAAAATCAGTTACGTCTCAAATTTAACTCAACATACGCCAGTGATCAAATATTATTATGGACGTATTTCTGATTTTCATGATTTCATGGCAGATTTTGTCACATTTTCTTCATGTTTTCAATTCTCTGACATGTAAAAAATTGACCCGAGGGCCACATTGAGGCCCCCGGGCTGCCAGTTGCCCACCAACAGTAAGCAGCAAAAAAAAACTTCATTAAATCATGCAAAAACTATGCAATATAATTATCAAAAAAATACAAATAAATGTATCTAGACGTATCTTTCTAGATTTTTATTTAGAAATCCATCTAGACATCCATCGGCTACATCGCTGCCTAGTTATTCAGCTATCTGTGGCCTCCAGCGATTGGCTGCAGGGCTGACGCCGTCGTTACGTGTTAACCAATAAATTAAAGCGACTCTCCCTTTCACTCTGTTTCGAGAGAGAGAGAGAGAGAGAGAGAGAGAGCGAGGTTGAAAAGGTACGAGTCGCGCTGCATCCTGGGTACATAACTCCATGGTGATGCAGTGAGCCTGTTGTGTGTGCGTGTGTGCGTCTGTCTGTGTGGACTGGAAACCAAAGTAAAGTAAACGGGGGAGGGTCGACTAACCAGAGAGAGGGGGGGGTGGTTGGGCTTTCAAGCGAGTTGGTTACAATGCGTCTTTCACGGTGTTGAACAGTCTCGGTGGTGGACGATGAGCCAACTTCGCCGGTTGTCTCGAAGCGGCGTGAGCCACTCCTGAGCCCCGGAGAACGACACCTTGTTGGCGGTGGGAGAGAGAGAGAAGAGAGAGAGTGAGAAAGAGAGAGAGAGCATGAAGAAGCCGAGCGCCGTGCTCCCTGCTGTGGGCTTGACTGGGAAATGGTAGCGTGCTGCAGGAACCGCACTGGGCAGGATCATGGTCGAGAGGAGCAGCAAATTCTTGTTGATCGTCGTCGGATCCGTGTGTTTCATGCTGATTCTGTATCAGTACGTGGCCCCCGGGGTGATCAATTTCGGCTCCCCGCACGGTTATTTCACGGAGGAGGACGAGGGGGACATCTTCCCCACGCCGGACCCCCACTACGTTAAGAAATACTACTTCCCCGTCAGGGACCTGGAGAGGACGGTGGACTTCCAGATCAAAGGGGAGGACGTGATCGTGTTTTTGCACATCCAGAAGACCGGCGGGACTACCTTCGGCAGGCACCTGGTCCAGAATGTGCGCCTGGAGGTCCCGTGCGACTGCAGACCGGGCCAGAAGAAGTGCACTTGCTACCGGCCGAATCGCAAGGAGACCTGGCTCTTCTCCCGGTTCTCCACCGGCTGGAGCTGCGGCTTGCACGCCGACTGGACCGAGCTCACCAACTGTGTGCCGGGGGTCCTCAACAAGAAGGAGAACAAGCAGAAAAACCTGAGGTAAAGCTGGGGACACGTCTGCTTCACTGACACTAAATCACCAACAACTGAGAGGTTTAGATTATTACCTAGAAGCCTAAAGGAGCCAGAGCCAGCACATTTCTATTTGACACATTTCTGGGGGGGGCAACATCATTTAAACTTTTTTAAAAACAGGATTCATTTGTTGTTGTAAATGATTTCTGATGAGGACTGCAGCTTTTGCTCCAATTAAAACAGAAGAGGTCGATGTAAACTTGCAAAGATGTAAAAATCAGATACGATTTAAATAATCTTGGCACACCAAAGTGTTCAAAAATGACTCCATTAAAACGTTATCTATCCTTCTTCTTGCACACAAGTTATCTGCTTTTCCAAACAAGACATTAATGCAGGCGTATTCCTCCTGAGAGGCAATTATTAAAGCCTAATCTAATGATCAATATTAAGGCATTTATTCAAACACAAATATCAAAGGTTACAGAGTAAGCAGCTTTATTTTGCTCCAATTAGTATCACAAAAATGTAGCAATGACACCAGAGGAGATATAACACAACAGAGGGCCATATAAAAGTATTATAACCAAAACACCACAAACACATTGGAGCTCCCTCATGATACTTAATGGTTTATAATTTTGCCGCTTGTGATACCCTAAACCAAAGGGTTCCCCCCCCCCACTCCTCAGTGGGTGGGACAGTGTTGTGGTTCAGAAATTGGAAGAAGAAAAGGGGTGAGGATTGTGTGCGTCTACTCTCTTTTTTGAAAGAGTGGGGCTGAGAGGGAGATGTTGAGAGACAGATGTTGATGGATGTTTTTTTTTTTTCAACCGTGTGCCACTGTCACAGATTCCACGGGAGTTCAAACTGCGCCTCAGACAGACAATTGTTGATGGGATCAGGGTGCCCTCCCTTTTTGGAGTCACATGCTGAGATTCGGCTTGAGTTTATATCAGGCATGGGAGTGTAACGCATCGTGGCAGCGTTTTCTCCTCTGTGATGATGCCTCACATTGACTGCCAGACATTCAGACACGATGTGCATCCCTATTAAGTTATAACCCATTTCTCCTGGGTGCCTCCCCATTGTTGCTTTCCGCATATTGCTTCCCTCACACAGACATATTGACGGCTGTATTAGCTTCCATTTCACTGCACCCTTGTGGATAAAAGGTGTGCTTGTTGAATTGGTTAATGTCTTTGTATTGTCTGAGATTCTTCAGTGTTGTATTGTATTATTTTTTGGATGATGAATCAGACAGAAGGGGGGTTAGGAATTTTAAAAAAACAAAAAATGGTTTTAGAGTTTTAAAGGGAAAATGAAGAGTTTTGCGGCGCCTCTGTCTGGATGATGTTTCGGGCCGGCTGCTCTGCTTCCCATTGCTTTCTCAGGATTGGGGAATCAGAGCTGCTGGCTGGGCAGGGCAGGGCAGGGCTGTGCGGGGGTAGAAGAGGGGGGACCCTGCGGGGGTTTGGCTCCGCTCTAATCCGGGTGATTATTACCACTGGGACACACACACACACACACACACACATACTAGCGCTGGTATTCACTGCTGGCGTCAGTCCTGACTCCCGTGGTTTCCCCTGGTCAGAGGTGATAACGTGTCCAAACCGAGGCGGGGTTTTTTTGGGGGTTTTTTTTGTTGCACGGCGAGCTGAGATATCACAGTGGATGTAGGATAAACAGCCTTTCATCACTTTGTTAGCACTGCTTCAGAGCCAGGGTGTGTGTGTGTGTGTGTGTGTGTGTGTGTGTGTGTGTGCACCTGACGAGGCCCAGGGATCAGAGGCAGACAGGAAAAGCAGAGTAGAAGATCTCTTCCCTCTCGTGTAATCTCTTATCCTATCAGTCCTGACGGGAGAAACAAGGGACCTTAAGCTTAATAGCACCCTGAAGAAAAACAGTGCTGTTCCATATTACACACAGCTCAGCCTGGACAGTGAAGAATCGCTGCAATGAGTTACTTTTTGGAGAAGTACACACACACACACACACACTCTCTCTTCCTCTCTGTTTGCATGTTTGTTCCCTCTGCTGTCTCTTCATGTGGTTCGGTCTGTGCACTTTTAAAAAATCCTTGCGCCCCTTCCATGTTTGTCCTTCTAGCCCCGCTGTGGTAACGCTTGTTTAGTGACATTTGTCTTGAGGGCAGTGGCAGTGTGGCGACGAGGGGGCCGGAGAAAGTGTGAAAAAAGATCATCTGTGTTTACAGAGCGGCGGTTGCGGTTAAGGACTTTTGTTGGCAACGGCGACTTAACTGCAAGAGCTTTCAGGTCAGCTGCGTGTGTATTGTCAGTGTGGTGGAGGTAAACAGTCTGCAGCTCCAGCCGGTGGTCTGACAGTTTCTTTTTAATGTTTCTTTTTTTTTTTTTTTTCTGTGTCTGACATACCACATACCTGCCCACTCTGTAGAGGAAGCGGTTCGGTTGCTGCGTTGTTAACTAAAACAGCTTGTGTCTTTGAATCCACGGCAGCAGAAGCAGCAGCAGCAGCAGCAAGCAGGGCTGGTGTTTGTGATCCAGCGTCTCTCTTGCCGCTGTGTTCTCATGCAGCTGTCAAGTGGATTTTACACCGGTGTTTCAAATGCTGCAAAAATAAAACGTGAATTAGGACCGTTTCCATCAGCTGGATTTAAGCACATGAATACACCTCCTGAATGTTCAGATATACACGCAGCAGAACGACGAACGAACGCGAGAATGAAAGGTCTTTTTTAAACTTATTAATCCCTGAGTGAAATTCTGATTTAGAGTCTGTTGTTGAGAGACACACAGGCACAATCAGGACCTGTGAAGAGATGTCAGAGTGAGGCTGCTACACACTGCTGCACAGGGAGCGGGCCATACCTGTAGGGGGGATTCAGTGCCTTGCTCAAGGGCAACTCACCCTGGCACCTCTCCAGCTACCACACTGACTTCCACATTTTGGTCTGCACCTGGACTTGAACCTGCGACCCCTCTGGTTCCCAACCCAAGTGTCCCTCCCGACAGACTGAGCGACTGCCGCCCCTTCTTCCCTTTTTTTTATCTGAAGTTAAAATTTTGTAGAGCGAATTAAAACAATGATTGTCATTATAGATTTGAATATGTAGCATACTAAAGAATGATCTTTTTTTAGATCTGCTTGATGTATTTAGTTGTAGACATACGGAAGCCAACCAGAGAGACAGCCAGTCTGACATTCACTTGCGTTATCTAAAAAAAGAAAAACCTCACAGAAAGTCCAGAGCTACTGCTGTTTTGTTTTGTATCAACGCTGTAACCTTTTCCAAGGCCTGTTGTCATGACTCTACAGATGGCTCTTTATCAATAAGAAAAAAAGTGTCAACTTCAAGAGAGCATAAAAAGTTTCTGGAGACATTCAGGAAATTGGATTGAACATGGTGCTTTTTCATATTCACTATATCATAAATTGCGCGAGGAGGAAAAGAGAAAGTGCTACGATGGATTAGGCTTAGTTTGGTCTGGTGACGAATGTGTCGGCTTTTAAGGAAGGCGCATTAAGAAGCGGCGGCGGCAGCAGAGATGAATGGTTGGCGGTTGGAGAGACGGGTCGCGCTTTGATCGGTGATGAGATGAGATGGAGATGTAGATGAACAGTGGCATTGTGGGAGAAAAAGGAAACTCGCACACTCAGCAGAGCATCACTCAGCAGTGGATTTGTCACTTCCCACTTTTATATCAGTTTTTAATGTTCTGTGCCGATCCCAGGGGAGCCACCAATACACACACACACACACACACACACACACACACACACTAATGAGGGTGTGAAAAAAGAAAATGCAACGCACACGAATGCAAGGCCTTAGATATGGAGCTTCTAATTGGTTAAGGAGGTTCCTATCACTTTACCCAAATTAGAGGCACACTTTGGGATGGGGGATACCATCTGTCCTGTGCATGTGTGTGCCCACATCTCTCCAGTGTGTGTGTGTGTGTGTGTGTGTGTGTGTGTGTGTGTGTGTGTTGTGAATCCTAGTAGTGTGTCATCGAGCGCCTTAGCAAAGCAAAGTGATGAGGCTAATTTTACTGCCTCTATCTCAGCCTTCTCAAATCACTCCCTGTTTTTTTTTTCCTTCTTCTATCCATCTCTTTCTCTCTCCCGCCCCCTCTTCATCCCCTCTGCTCTCCTCTCAGACACTCTCCCTCCCTCCTTCTCCTCCCATCCTTCCCTCCTTCGCTCCATGATGGTGTCACTCTCTAATCAAACAGCAGGCCAGCTTTCCGCTTGGTGGCTTTATGGCCGGGGGGGGGGGGGGGTCTCGCTATCTCTCTCTCTCTCTCTCTCTCTCTCTCCATCTTCCGCCTTCACTTTTCTTTCTCCCGCCTCTTCTCTCTCCATCTCTGCCCCCTCGTCTTTTCCTTTCTCTCCTTTGCCATCTTTCTCTCTCTCTCCCTCCGAGCGTGACTACTGCATTAGAGGAAATGTCTTTTCATGGAAGATTTGCTGCAATTTCCAAAATGGCTGCTTTGCCTAATGGACAACTGCCTTGGTTCTAATGAATGATTACATGTATGAGCATTGGGGGGGGGGGCAGAGGAAGAGTAATATGAGGAAGAGGATGGGGATGAGAGGAGGGCTGTCAGGGAGTGATTGAAGAGATAAAAGCTGGAGGGTTGAAAACGTTTAGTTTCATTGGTGGGGAGGGGGCTAGTCAATTAGTACGGTTGTCAAGCACTGCATTTTACTCTGCTTTCAATGGGTCTGTTTCAGATTCACAGCACAAATCACTGCACTCTAAGACGGCTCTGTGTGTGTGTGTGTGTGTGTGTGTGTGTGTGTGTGTATGTGTGTGAGAGATGTGCGTGTGTGTGGTAGCCCAGCATGGTGCCATCAGCCGGCCCAGTCAGCCAGCACAGCCCTGAATCCAGATGAACTCCAGGAAGCTGGTGATTGGCATATAGAACTAATGTGTGTGTGTGTGTGTGTGTGTGTGTGTGTGTGTGTGTGTGTATTAGTTAGTGCGTGCGCTCATGTGTAGCCAGGCAGGTTGGTGTTAATCCAATCAGATTAGG